TATTCGAATCTCAAAATGAAAACTCGAATGCCATCCCTCCAAACGAATATTCGAATATTCTGGTCCAGCCCTAGTAGTTTCCCAGGGCTTTGTTGGTTCCATAGTTCTTGGAACTTTTTGGACAAAAAGGGCTTTACAGTAAGTTAAAATGTCAGTTGCGAAAGGTCTAGTCTAGTCACAGGTGGAGCCTTTAAACTAGCTTTGGAACAGATCTTAAGATCAAGTTAGAAGTTAAATTAAGTTAAGTCAACTTGCAGGCTGATCTGTCTTTATGAAATACCATCATGCCTTTATTTTCTAGTGAAATCTGAAACACAAACATTGCATACTGTATTTCCTAGTCACAAAATATTCTGTAATTTGGTCTTTACAATTAAATTCAAGATTTGATTTTGTTCTCCTTCTTAGGGTCTAATTGCATATGAACATTATATACTGTACCTATGACTGCTCTGCAGACCAGCATCTCCCCAAAGGCCATCTTCTAGCCAGAGCCCCACCAGCACAACTGCTGGGCCAGTGGGGTGGTTAGCATACGCACAAGGATGCGTCTTGTGTTGGCAGATGAGTTGGGACCCCCCATTGTTGCCAGATACACTGTAAATTAAATCTAACAATCATTTTAACTTATTTCTTTATGTTGACTTTACTTAATGTGGAGTTGTTTACCTTACTAATGTATATGTAGTAATCCTTACTATTTGCCTTCAAAAGTCTTATTTACTTAAATATCTCTAGTTACTGTAATATGATTTGTTTGAGTGCCATTTTTCCATTCTACTATCATTTTAGCTTATAGTTGGAAGATCCCGACCTTTAAGAACCTACATGGGCTAATCCAAACACAAAATCTCTAACTTAAATAAATAAATAAACAAATAAATAAATAAATAAAAGTCAGTAGAGGAACGATATGAAATATGAATGAGAATGATAAGAATATGTGCTTAGTTAAAAAAAAATAAAAAAATGAGTATTTTTAAAACGGGAATTCATCATGCATGTTATCAATGTTCAAGATTCACACTAGATCATTTGAAACCAGAACAAGCAATGTTAAAATGATTAAAAGCGTTTTAAATATCATTAGGAGTAATGGCGTCATACAATACAGAAAAAAATATGTAATTTCTAAACTTCGTCGTCATTGTACACCAGGACAATAGGTGGCTAAATGCGCAAATAAAAAAAAATCGGCGAGCAAGAAGCGAAGAAGAAGAAGAGCGATTTTAATTGGATGAAAAGTTTTGCACTGCGGGGGGTAACAGCCGTTAGAGAAAGGGCTCGTGTATCGCAGCAATTTCGCTTGTAAAAAGACGTTTCTGTCAGCATTTCATCAGCAAAGAAGTAAAGAAATCGAACGGAGGAAAATAACCAGCGAAACTGTGACTTCGGGAACATTTTGGAATCCAATGCCGTCTGTTTGGCCGTGTAAGTATTGCTCATATCATATTTTACTGAAGCACCACAGATTTAATCATGGAAAATATACTCGTATATCGCCAGTCCCGTGCTTGTACACTGACTGTTTGTGCACATTTTATGGCGTGTTCTAAGATGCCTAATCATGTTAGTGGTGTTAAAATGCCGTTGCTTGCTTCCACCTCGAGGGATTTCATCACGACATACATTGCAAACGGCTAACTTTACGTCTTTATCGGACACTTTGAAAAACTTCCAGACGGGAGAACTCATGTTGCCACTGGTAAACTCCGCTCTGCTGTTGTTTACCTGTGCGCCGTGCATGCACGTGTGAAAAAGTCGCGCGAGTAATATACGTCAAGTGATCGGCTTTTTTGATAGGCGCTTTTGGGGTTCGCCGATCAAGCTATTTTTAGCCAATATCGGCTGATCATGATCGGTGGCCAATCAATTGGAGCATCACTATTTGTAAGACCAGTGTGGTCAAGGAGCATGGTTATGGCAAAATTCTCCATCCTCTCATCCAAGATCTTGTAACACTTGAGGAGCAGGGCCTTATACCTGCAACAGCTTGGAGCAAGCATGTATTGTTTGTAGCAGCAGACAATTTGGCAGCTCATTCTCTTGCAGGTTTTTATGAGAGTTTTACAGCTAATCATATGTGCAGATTCTGCATGGCCACCAGGGATGAACTGTAGGTCAGTGAAGTACAGTCTGGTTTCTCCCAGCTCCGAACAAAAGTGACTCATTACAAGCACGTAGAAGATGTTAGGTCTAGCTGCATACTTAGTGAGAATCTGAAACATTTTCATGTAGTGGATGGTTTCCCATCAGATATCTTACACGATCTTTTAGAATTTTGTGCCTTTTGAATTATCACCATGTTTTCAGAAGCTAATTGACCAAAAATACTTTTCTTTGGAGTCTTTGAATAAGGCGATCCTATTCATAATGTGTATTTCCTTACACATTTACAGACAAAACAGACCGGCCTCAGATTATAACCAAGAGTCACACAGCAAAGTCAACAATTTTAGGCAATGCCCATGAAAATTGGACTCTTCTTAGATTACTTCCTTTTTTGATTGGACACAATGTTCCTGAAGGTGACCTGTTCTGGGAGCTGATCATGACTGTTAAACATGTTGATGAACTAGCCACATCTCCAAGATTTTCAGAAGACTCATTGGCCTTTTTTGAAATGAAGATCTCAGAACATCGCCATTTGTTTCAGACATTGTTTCCCTCTACAAGACTTCGGCCCAAACATCACTACCTGGAGCATTATCCCAAACTAATTCGAACTTTTGGACCATTAATAGATGTTTGGACCATGCGCTTTGAGGGGAAACACAAATTCTTTAAAAAAATTGTCCATGCAACACAAAACTTCAAAAATGTGTGTCTCACACTGGCAGTAAGACACCAAAGAATGATGGGTTTCCACGTAGCTTCTCCATCTTTTTTCAAACCACCAGTGGAAATTCAAAAATTGAAAGCTGCTGCTGTTTCTTCATTCCCTGACAATGTGCAGCAGTCCCTCTTTCAGATGAACGGTCAGCAAAACACTGCTTTGGGAGCATCTTCAGTATGTTTGGATGGGATTAAGTATGTACCAGATATGATTGTTTCAGCTGGCTCGTGCTCCGGTCTCCCAGAATTCAGACAGATTACAAAACTTGTAGTTATTAACACTCATGTTGTGTTTGTCTGCAGGCAATTGAACACTTAAGGTCCTATGAGCTTTGTGGCAGTCATTTAAGTCCCCATTCAGTCACTGAACTGTCTGAATTGAATGATGTTTTCCCTCTCTCAGCTTTCCGAGCCAGAGGAAAACTTTTTGTCACATTAAAACACGAAATACTGCAAAAGTTGGCAGAGTGCATGTACTCATATAAAGCATACTCTACTGATGAAGATTTTGCTGAAGTTGCCACAGCCCTTATCAACAAGCATCCGTGTCTTTGAGAGCAAGGATCATCAACAGGGTACGGAGGGTGGAAAAATAGTCTCAAATTTAAGATGGGCAATTACCGGTCAAAACACCGTAAAGCTGGATGCCTTGATGTTTCTGTTAATGGAGGAAGAAGGGGCAAGTACTCTCCTGAAGGACAGCCTCCAAAACAAAATATTAAAAAACCACGAGGAGATGAAAGAAATTACCTTCCTGATTTCCCTTTGGGAAAGGATAAAATATCTCTTGAAAAAGATAGGGAACTGCTTGTTGAAGAAATGCGAAAAAGATTGCCAAACAAGACCTTAGTCGCCCAAAAGATGGACTAAACATTTCCTTTACGAAGAAAAGAAATCGTGGAAACTGAGCCACCGATTAAAACAATGATGGAACGCTGGCCAGCACTTTTTACTGAGCGTGAGGTAAGAAATCTTATTGTGATTGGCTATTTGCATTTGTTTCATTGGTTAAATGATTTTCTGTTTTGTAGGTTTTTGCAGAATATACTCGGATTGCCTGCAAGAATCTTCAGAGTGAATTCTTTGGTGAACTTGACAGACACACACCCCGTCTAATGAAGATTTTTCGGTCTAAAACTGGAACCTTGGGTCAGACCTTATCAAAATTACTAGAGCAAGTTGAGTCAAGAAGAAACACCAATCAAACATTAGATCAGGTATGACTATTCATGTGTGAATAAGACTTAATTTCTTACTGCTACTGCATGTCAAATTTATTTGACCCATGTTAATCAGCCATTTTCTTAAGTGATGCAAAGTGTAAAATATTCTGAAAAATATTCAGAATTTTATTTTTAAATCCAAATCAATGTTTCCAGTATAATGTTATTAGGACGATCACCAAGGGCACATTGTGATGTAAGCAAATTTAAAACTTGTGCAAGAATTGATGATCTTCCATGCTTCCAACATTACTTCTCATACTAAGCCATTGACCTAACCTTAACACCACAAACGTCATGGGGTCACAACATCCCCTGCATGATCACTCTCGTGACAGACTGGAAGCATTGATTTGCAGTTAAAAACTTTACAAATATTACTGTGTTTCTTGCACACACCTATATTTTTTCTTTAAAAGACTATGATTTGTCCATGTGGGTCATATGAATTATTGTCATGATCACTGTGTTATTTAAGCATCAAACGAGTAGCCCATTTTATATATAACCCCCCAAAAATTATTTCCTTAAAATCTTTGTATTTGCCTGAAGAAAGTCATAAAATTGGACATGGCATGAGTGAATAATGAAATTATTCCTTTAAATTATTGTACTATTCTTCATGATTTTATAAATGTTAAAGAAAAAACAGTTCATTAAAATAAGATTTAATGTCATATTTTAATTTGCAGATAAAAATACTAAAATGAAATATGGTTCCTTCAAGAAACTACACTGTTACAAATTACAAACAATGTCATTTTTTATACACTGAATAACATGGAATTTCATAAACGCCTCTGTTTTTTCAGGAAACGGAAGTTACAATTCGACACACTATGGTTCTTCATGGTATCCCTGTCCTTCTTGGGGACAACCTGTCATAATCCACTCCGTTCGATCCCGATGTGAGCCACGCCCACCTCGTTACCTCGTGTGATTCCCTGATTGTTCTCACCTGTGATTCGTTCTCCGTAGCCTGTCTCTAGTACTTAGTCCGTGTCTAAGTCTGTAGTCCCCAG